CCCCCCCCCCCACACACACACACGTGCACTTGCGCGCAGAGACACAATCAACCTCTCTCACACACACACAAACACACAAATGTTAGATACCTGCTGTGCGGAGGGGCGTGTGTTGGGTTCGTACTGCAGGCAGCTGCTGATGATGTTGCGGACGGGCTGGGGGATCTCGGGGGGGATGAAGGGGATCATCTTATCCACCAGCAGCAGATGCACCAGCTGACCTATGTTTCGGCAACCCTATTGATTGGACACACACCACGTGTCTCCCTTGTGTGGTGCGTCCCCCTCTCTCTCTCTCCCCCACACACATACACAGGTTCTTACGTCAAAAGGCAGGGGCCCGCCAAAGACTTCAATGAAGAGACACCCCAACGCCCAGATGTCCACCTTCTCATTGATGGCCTGCACACCCCCCACACATACACACGTGCATTTGTGTGTGTGTTGGTGCGGCCTCGGTGGGCGGATGACCATGGTGTCTGTGCGGAAGAGCTCCGGGGCCATGTATCGCGGGCTGCCACCAGCTTGTTCGTGTCGCGTGATGTGTGAACGCTCCATGGCCTCACTCAGACCGAAATCACAGATCTTAGGCGTCATGTCAACATCCAACTGAGACACACACAGAGAGGTGGCGATACTGGAGTGCCCACGGAGACAGACAGACAGACAGATATACCACGACGTTGTGTGTCTTGATGTCTCTGTGGAGAATGGTGGGTTTCCGCCCGTGAAGGTACGCCAGGCCCTCGGCCACCTGCCGGCAGACGGACAGCCGCTGCTGGTCCGGGAGGCGACGCTTCTGCACATGCAGCACCTGCACACACACAAATGGATAGATACACACACACATGAACGTCTCTCTGTGTATGTTGTGTGTGTCTCCCTCCCTCTCTGTGTCTCATTGGTACGTTGTAGAGTGAGCCTTGGGGCATGTACTCAGTCACCAGGCAGAAATGGGGCGGCTCCAGACACGCGCCTGCACGCACACACAGCCATCCATCCGTCCATTCATCCATCCACCGATCTGTGTGGCCGCACGATGCATGGATGGATGTGGCAAAGGGGGCTGACCGATGAAGGGCACCAGGTTCTTGTGACAGAGGTCCTTGAACAGCTCCACTTCTTTCTTGAGACCCTCCAGTGCTGCAGGCTGCGAACTCCCTGGACATCCACACACATCCACACACAGAGAGAGAGAGATGCTCCCATACGCCCCGCCCTCTGTGTGTGTGTGTGTGTGTGTGGTTGCCTTCGTTCCAATAAAGTTCCTTGATGGCCACTTGTGTCCGCCGGCAGCCTGTCTCAGGGTCACGCAGGAACCCACGATGCACACGACCAAACTCACCTTCACACACATTGACACACACACGCACACATTGATGCGCGGGCATCACACAATGGACACAGCACAGATGTGCTTACCCGAGCCGAGCGGCTCTGCCTTTTCCAGATCGGAGTATCTCAGCCTGTGGACCTCTCGCAAATGCGGCACATTCGTCCCCTTCGCCCAACCCCCGCCACCACCAGGACCACCAGCTGCTGCACTCTGCTTCTTCTGCTGCTGGGAGGGAGCAGCGGCATCTGCACAGACACACAGAGGGAGACACAGCCCCAGGCAATGATAACATGACAACCACAAACTCTCTCTCTCTCTCTCTCTCTGTCCCTGCCTCCCTCCCTCGCTGCTCCCGTGTTTACTCACCCGAGCTCATTGTGCGTTTGCCCTTGCCTTCAGCGCCGCCCTCGGCGACGCACCAGATATTGCGCCGCCTGTCGAGGATGTACACCCGGCCCTTGTAGTGCCACAGCTGCTCCTCCACAGGGGGAGGTGGCGGCGGGGATGGGCAAGGCGAGTCGATTGGCTGCGGCGGCTGATGCGGGTGTTTGTGTGGGTGGTGATTGTAAAGGTTGGCCATGCTCTGGTGGCACCCGCCTCTGTGGATCACCTGCACACACAAAGACGGAGGGAGGGAGGGAGGGAGGGAGGGAGACACATATGTGTGTGTGCTGCTGCTGCTGGGGGGGTTTTGAAAGAGCGTGTGTTGTCTTAATTATGCTGACTCTTGGGCAGTAGGAATCCTGGGGCCCCGGCACATGCTCGCTCGGGCCGGTCCCTCCCACGACAGCATGGCGCATCTGGCCTTGGTGGCCTCCAGATGGCAGTGGAGGAGGCGCATATGAAAGAGGGCCTTCGACAGGGGGAGGCTGCAAACAAAGACAAAAACACATACGTACACTCCAAACACCCGTCCGTCGATCCATCCCATCCACCCAAGCTAGCTTACAACAAACCGACCTCTGCCGTGTCCCCATCTGCCGTCTGTGCCCTCTCCGCTGCCGACCCTCGCCCATCAGCGCTCTCCGCCGTGCTGGCCGTCCGCTTCTCCACCACCACAGTCACCCTCGGCCCCTCAACCACCGTCTCAAGCCGCTGATTCGCCCGGAACGGATTCAGCCGCCTCGCAACAGGCACGACAGCAGCAGCGCGGGAGGCCGGGAGGGGCGATAGGGCTCTGGGCACGTGTTGTTGTCCCACTCGGGCGGCATTATTCGCCCCACCATTCGTCCCATTTTTGTTCCTTTGGCGGGGCGACTCGGTGATGGCCCTCTGAGCGGCTGGAATGTGCATCTCGTTGAGCGCCTGTGTCATGACGGCTCGCGGGTGGCCCCTCCCCGCCCCCGCCCCCGCCGCCGCAACATTCCTGCCCTGCAACGTAAAAGGAAAGGAAAGCCATTCATTGCCCTCCCTCATCTGTGCTGGCGTGTATGGCCTGTGAGTACCATTCCCTTATAGAAATCAGTGTTTGGTGCGGGTGGCACCACCAGCAGACGCTGCCGCTGCCGCACCGGGGAGGGCGACGCCACACGCCCCATGTGCACCTCTCGCGAGATGAACGCCCGGCCGACGGGCACTGGGCCAGCGGGCAGCAGTGGGGGAGGGGAGAGAGAGGGGGACGACTCCTTGTGATTCGCCGCCGAGAGCGGGTAGTGGATGACGTAGCGGGCCGCTCGGGTGGGAGGGGGCGATGCCGCACGGTGACCCAATGGCATCGGGGAATCTGCAAAAGGGAGACAGACAGGGAGACAGTCAGGGAGACATGTACCTGCCCTCACTGCAAATGCTCACAGCATCTCATGTGCTGGTGCTGCTCCTGCCGCTGGTGCTGGTGCTGCCCAGGCATGGCCCCCATATGCGGTGCAGCAGGTGGAATCGGGAACTGCAAGCACCCCACAGAAGCCTTCCCCGTGAGGAGGGCCGCATGATTCAAATTCCGATTCGGATTCGGCTGCACACAGAGTGGCGGCGGGGACACTGCGTGGCCTCTGCCACCTTGCAGAGGGATCATGGCTGCTCGCTGATTCGTTGTCCGACTCGCGGAAGGGGGAGCGTTCGAACCGTTGCTCGCCATTGATGAGACGGTGGTGTCACATGCAGCGGCCGTCTCACAAGTTCCGCATTGCGAGTCACTGTGGCTTCCTGGGCTCAACGGTGAACGATTTTGCAGTGACAAAATCGCTGAATAAGGCCCACAAGCTCGCAAGATCGCATGGCGAGAGGAAGGAAAGAAATGCCGGCGAAGCGCAAGAAGCAGGAGTGTGAAGCAGACGCGGCAGATGCAGCAGATGCAGACGCCAAGCATCCCCGCATGATTCATGATCAGCCCGCTGCTCAAGCCGCTGCAGTCGATGCCCAGGCAGCATAGGGCATGATCCCCAGCGTCAGGCTGCACAACGGCGTTCAGATGCCCTGTGTCGGATTCGGCACTTACACGCTCAAGAAGGGGCAGGTGAGATGAACAAGCTAGATGAGCCATGGGAATGGCAAAGAAAGAGCCAGGGGATGCCTGTGTATGAGCGCAGGTGAAGAAGCCGCTGGAGGCTGCCTTTGCCGCTGGCTATCGAATGCTCGACAGTAAGCAAACAAGCCCATCGGCCGTCTGATTCCTTCCCGCATCCATCGGTTTGTGTGTGCAGCTGCGTGGGTGTACGACAATGAGAAGGAGATCGGCGAGGTGCTGCGCAAGGCCTCCATACCCCGGGAGGACCTGTTCATCGAGACCAAGGTCTGGCGCAGCTACCACGGCTTTGACAAGACGCTCGAGTGCGCCAGGCAGTCCATCCGGCGGCTGGGCGTCGACTATGTGGATCTGATCATCATCCACTGGCCTGGACCTGGTGAGATGGGAACAGAAGCGCATGTGCGTGCGTGTGTGTCCATGCATGTGTGTGTGTGTGTGTGTGTGTGTCCGTGTGGCAGGCCGGCATATGTTCAAGCAGTACGACATCCCTGCTGACTTCACCGCCCAGACGCGGCTCGACACGTGGCGTGCGCTCGAGCAGCTCTACAGCGACGGCACTGCCAAGGCCATCGGCGTCTCCAACTTCTCCATCGCCCACCTCAAACACATCATGCAGCACGCCACAGTCAAGGTCAGCCGAAAGAATGACGCTTGCTTGTTTGTGTGGGTGTGGGTGTGGGAGGATACCCACTGCGCGTGTCTGGTATGCAGCCGATGGTGAACCAGATCGAGTTGCACCCACTGCTGGTCCAGGACGAGCTCGTCGACTTCTGCCGCGAGAGCGGCATCATCGTGCAGGCATACTCGTCGCTGGGGGCGGGGGCAAAGGACGGCACGCACACACTCCTCGGCCACCCTACAGTCACGTACTTAAGGAGAGGGATAGAGGGAGGGAGGGACAGACCCTCGTTGTGTGTGTGTGTGTGTGTGTGTGTCTGTGTGTGTGTGTGTGTGTGCGGATGTTAGGTCGATCGCCTCAGCGCACGGCAAGAGTGCCTCTCAAGTGCTGCTGCGCTACGGCCTGCAGAAGGGCGATGCGGTGCTGCCGCGGTCGAGCAACACTGCCCACATCGCCGCCAACATCCAGCTATTCGATGAGGGATTCGTGCTGACCGACGAGCAGATGCAGGAGCTGGACGGCCTCAATGTGAACAAGCGATTCGCGTGGAAGGGGGTGGACCCGGCCACCATCGAGTGATGTGATGGCCCGTTGGTGCTACTTCGTGTACAGAGGAGCGGGCGTGTTTGTGTGGGTGCTGGTGTGGGTGTGGGGCTACTTGAGTGTGCTGTTCCATCTGTTCTTGACATTGTTGTCGGTGCGCCCGTCGAAGTGACGCGATATCTCTGTTCTGTCAGCGTGCGTGTGTGGTGTGCATTCGTGGAACGGTGCGGTGTGTGATGTTTGTGCACGTGTGTGGATACTTACGTGGAACCCTTCCTGATCAAGTGCTCTGTACTACCGGTGAACACTGCAGTCCAAATTTACCGACGGAGTGGAGAGATGGAAGGTAGGACCCCTCCCGACGGACCGGAGGGGCTTCTCTGGTGGTTCTCCCTGGGTGTTCTCTGGTGCCTGATCGTCTGCTTGATGATCTGCTTTATTTCCTGTGAACATCTGTTTCAATGGCTGCGCGAGGCTCAGCGTCCTGCGGGTGCTGCTCATGCCGCAGGAGCTCCTCAGCCTCCCGCCGCGGCCGGCGCTGCCGCACACCCTCTCGCTCCCCACCCTCCAGCTCTCCGCCCTGCACCCTCTGGGAGAATGCGTTTCCGGAGTGTGGATGCTGCTCTCATCAGAGAAGTACTCGATAAAGGTGAGTGAAGGGGTGAGTGACCAACAGCAAGGGGCGGGATGGATGGGCTATTTGTTTGCAATTGGGTCCGTGCAGTTCCTGACCATGAGTTTCCGGCCTCCGTGTCGCGGTGTCCCATCACATTGGCCGTTCCGCGCACTCCTGTCAACACACCCTCAGGTACTGTACGCATCTTGAAGCTGACCACAATGCAGGTAGCTCATTTCCTCTCACCCGTTGCTTCTCACCAACGCAGGGCACACCTACGAGCTGTCGGCCATCCTCCGGCACATCCGCGACCACGGAAGGGACCCTCTGACGGAGCAGTCTCTGGGTGAGAGTGACCGGGCTCCGAATCGGTATGCTGTGCACCACATCGAGTGCTGCGCCCAACAAGTACGCACGCCAATTTATTCAAAGGAACGGTGAGCCGCATCAGAAGCGGTTCTGTGTGTTTGTGTCAGATTTTAGATGCTGGGGTGGGCCGCTGCGCGCGGGTGATGCCTTGGAGGTGGGCCAGGGTGGCGACGGGGAATGTCGGGCCTGCAGGTGATCACGACACACGCGACTGTCACTGTCACTGTGTACGTGTACGCCTTACCTATGTGTGTGTGTGTGTGTCTGTGTGTGTATGTGTGTGTGTGTGTGTGTGTCTGTGTGTGTATGTGTGTGTGTGTGTCATCAGGGAGCTACCGCAAGGCCCGTGGTATGCTGGTGGCAAGCCCCAACAGAGCACCCATCGGCACCGGACTCATGAAGGTACCCATCCCTGGCCCTCTCTGTCTCTTTCGCTCTCTCTCTCTCTCTCTCTCTCTGCACCCACACAGAGCAGAGAGACGTGTGTGTGTGTGTGTGTGTGTCGGTGGCGCAGGGCATCAACGCGTTGAATTTGGAGCCCCCGCTGCCCAAGCTGGATGACATCACACGGAACGAGTTGATTCAGTTCAAGCAGAACCAGACCAGGGTACATCCTCACCCCCCCACACACGCCCCCACACACACAAATGCATTCTAGCTCCCCCCCTCCCCCTCTCTGCGTGTGTGTGTCTCTGTCTGGTAGGCTGCCCGCGGAGCCCCGCTGCCGGCCGATCGCAACGAGAAGAAAGAATTCTTGAACTCGCTGGGACAGATCGATGCACGACTACAGTAGGCACACACACACACATATCCCTCTCCCCCCCCATACACACCCACACAGCTGCATCGCTCCCACTATGTGTGGTATGCCCAGAAGTCTCTCCAGGCCAACGACCTTGAGGCCAACGACCTCGACATGAGGACACGTGCTCCCTGCCCCCTAAAGACCCCCATCCCTACACGCACAGAGTACACACAGACATGATGGCATCGTAGACAGATGTCACGCAGCGAGCCAGCGAGACACAACGGCTCTTGCCCTTTTTTTTCGACATAGCGACCCCTTCTCTCTCTCTCTCTCTTATACTCATAGCAGAAAGGCCGACTACAATTCATCTTTGCGTGGATTCGCGAGTGCCTGGATGGATGGATGGATGGATGGAGTGCATCATTCATGGGGCTATGGGAGGCCGGAGGGAGGGAAATTGCTGGGTGGTGGTGACACACGCACACACAGGCAGACACACAGGCACAGGCACATGTGCAGCGCACGGCGCGGCTCCGTGTGTCGTTGTTTTGTCTGTGTGTGTGTGTGTGTGAGAAGGAGTTAGAATCAGCCAAACTAATGTGCAGCGATGTCTGTCTGTCTGCCTGTCCGATGCGCGAATGCATGCTACTCGTGCGCGTGGCCGGTTTTTTACCTAAGCAATCTCTTTCTCTGTCACTCTCAGCAGCTGTGCAGCTCCTGTCTGTCGGCAGCCCCAATGCTTCCGTGGCACAGGCAGCACAGACATATGTGTGGTTGCTTCTGACGTATTGTTGTCTTTGTTTGTGTGGGTGTAACATGAATACACACACGAACACAACATGCATACACTCATACGTGTACCCCTTGGTGGGCATCCCATGTGCAATGAAAACAACACATCAAATCAAATCAACGTGGCATGAAACAATCGACCTCGTTGCCATCACACACACAGCAGCACAAATTGTATCTGTCCTATCTGCCCAGCTCAGCCCCCATTCATTCAGCGCTCCCCTCCCTGTCTGCTGCCTGTCTGTTTACGCCTGCACTGCGGTCGCCCATCAATCACGTAATTGACCGATGCGCCACAGAGAGGCCTCTTAGACACACAGAGGCAGACAGGTGAGCAGACAGAGACACAGACGCACGCAAACTGACTGACCCACATACACACCTACATGCAGCAGGGCAGGCCCAACGACAGAGAGCGTCAGACAGGCTGTCAATGAAAGGAATGGACAAACTGCGCCTTTGGCTGTCTATCTGTCTCACTCACGATCACTCACCGCCTGCCTCCTCACCTCTCTAATCTGGATGCCAGCACACGATCGCGTAACTCCTGACTTGGTTATCCAGACCGAGGTCCGAAATATTCACGTACCAATGGCTTTTACCGACCGGCATTGAAACGCACGCCCTTTCTCCCGTCCTAGTCTCTTGTTTTTTTGAACACGTTGATGGAGAATTTGTTTGCATTCGCATGCCCGGTGATTCTCGCAATAGATAATAGCGTTGACTGTGCTTGGTCTGTCTGGATTGTCTGTCGGGTGGGTATACGAACAGTGCAAAACGATACATAAATTCATGCACGCAGCTTCGTCGTGTAAGCTTCATCGAAAGACATGCAGCCAGCCCCCACAGAAAAGACTGTTCAGTCAGCCGGCAGCACATTCCCTCAGCTGCTGCGTCAGGTTGGCCTCGACCTCAATCTGCCCGCTCTCCACAACTCGCCTGGCGAGCCGGTTGCCCCTCTCGCCCGGCATGAGGATCTCACTCACACCGGGGAGCTTCCGAGCCGACCGCACTCGGGCGATGATGGCCTGAATGCATTCATAAACAGGCGACACAAACGTACTCAAGTGTGTTTGCCTGCCTGCCTGGCTGCAGGGATGTGCACCTCTGTCTTGGTGTGGAAGTCGTCAGTGGGGCCGAGCTCGGCGGGGTCGATGGCGAACAGCTGCATGCAAGCGTCACAGAAGAGGCAACAGAGGGTGTCGTCAATGCGTCTGTGTCGGTCGGTCAGTCGCCCCCACACGTGCATACCAGCGTGCCCCAATTGTTGGCCGTCTGTGCGGTGCGTGAGCAGCAACCACCACACACGACCAACAGCCACACACACATGCAGGCACCGCACCCTACCCTTGTTGCATCTGTGCGCACCAACTGACCTTTTTGTTTTGAACGTCAGCTCCCACGAGTGCCCCAGCGAGGATCTCCACCATCAGGGCGAGATGCGATCCCTTGTGCGACCTGCCACACACATGATGCGCCAAACACACACGCGAGACCCACTCATGATGCTTGTGCATGTGTTTGCGGACCTGTCGAACACGAGGAGCGCACCCGACAAAGCGGCTGATGAACGCAGTAACAGGCCATGCACACACCACGGTGAGTGTGGATCCGTGGACGTCATCCTCGTGTTTGTGTGTCCCTCCAAGCCTTACCGACGTCACATACATGTGGGGTCTTGTGTCGGGTTGCCCTCCGAGTCATAGGCCACATTAGGGGGAAGAGGCCGCCCCGCCGCCTTGGCCTCGTGTATGCCGTAGTAGGCCATCACGCTCGTGGCCATGTCGAGCACAAGCGACTCGCAGCCTGACGAGCGAGGGATGCCAATAGCCAACGGATTCGTGCCGAATATGGCCTGTGCAGACACACAGGATGGTGGGCGAACGGACACACGCCGCTGCATGTTCAGTTCACGCATCCTTTTGTACCTCATTAGTCCCGTGTGGTGCGACGTATTCCGGCGATTGCGCGAAGGCGAAGCCCAGCAGGCCTTGGTCGGCCATTTGCTGCGCATACATGCCGATGGCGCCAGTGGTGGTGCAGTAGTTGTGCACGCCAACCTGACCATCCTCATGATCAGATCTGATTGATGCAGCGGCAGCAGATGATGCCTTCTTGGTTCCTTACCATCCCAAAGCCTGCATGCACGGGAAGCAAACAAGGGTGCGGGTTCATGTGGTCCTCCCCCTGGAGTGAGAGTTTTGTACCGTGCTCTCTGGCTTTCTGAATCGCCATCTTAGTGGCCTCCTGCACAGCGACGCTGCAACACACAGCGCTCACATCCATGCAGCCAGCCATCCAAATGGCACGTACATGCCGGGCCGCTGTTGTGCGTCGAGCCTGGCAGACAGCTTCGTATCAAAGACGGTCGTCACTTTGCCGGCCGATGGCTGAGGCCTGACAGCGCCTGCAGGGCTGCACAGAGAGATGGAAAGCAGCATCATGCAATTGGCATCATGAGTGTGTGGATCGTGTCTGAACGTCTTCACTGCTCACATTTTGATGATCCCCTGGTTGTTGCCGCGACGTTGAGCCCAGAGCAGCCCCTCACACACTGGTTCGACATCCTGCGGCAGATGCCTGTAGGAATGACGCAACAAGGATGCTGCCAGGGCTGACGCACTCGCGATTCGCGAACCCCATGTTGGTGAGTGCCTTTCTGCACAGATCTTCCACCTCAGTCAAATGCACCAGCTCCATCCGGCAGATCTGCACTCCAAGGTAAGCTCGCACGAAATGATCGAATGATCGAATTCATCGCGAATGTCGGTGGGCTTCGATAGTTCTCCGTGCAGATGGTTCACCTGTTCAAGCAAACCGAGCCCACGCTCCCGCTACATCCCTTCTGCTGCTCATTGTCAAGAGAAACAAGAGTGACGGTCAACAAAGCTACCCTTCGCATGCAATCTCTATCACACAGGTCTTATCGATGGCCAAGGACGTACATACTCTCTTGTGCATGCATGCATGCAGACATAGGCGGTGCGCATCTTAGCCACGCACCAGACACGACCAAACACATGACGTCCCTCTCTACTGGCGGATAAGTATGCGATCGACAGCTTCTCTGGCCTCCCTTATCCGCCTGTCTGTCATCTGGTGCCTCACCCCCTCCTCATCCAATTTCTGCAGCTCCCTTTTCCTCTCAGTCGCCTCTCGCTGTCGCTCCCACGTGCTGCGATAACCCGAGTACAGTGCCGGCGGGTAGTAGTCGTACCTTCGCACGTTATAGGGAAGCTCCCTTCTGTGGTGACGGACATAAGAAACGAAGCGAGGGGCGAGTGGAATCTCAGAGAGGACGGCTGGGCTTGTTGATGGGGAGTAGATGAGGGGGGACGGCTGAAGAGCCGTCTGAGACACTATGTGTTGGGGGCGGTATGTCTGTGTGGATGTGGGTGGAGGGGGGAGTGCGAGAGCCTGCTGTGTGGTTAAAGTGCCCTGCATGCGACACAACGAGTGGAATGTCTTCTTGTTGATGTGTCCGCATTCGCATACCTGGTCAGTCATCTGTGTTTGCTCCTGCATCTGCATTTTTTCCCCTGCCCAGTCGACACGCATCGTCTTGAGCTGGTGGTTCAACATGTGCTGCGCCGCCCTCAGCTCGGCCGTCTCGCTTCGCAGCGCCATGACCTCTGCCGTCAGCCGCTCTATCGCTTGCGATGACGGCTGGCCTCCATACGTCTGTCCATGGCCGTACGTACGCGTATACACGTCAGCACCAAGGCGATGTACCGAATGGAATTCTGGTGCCGACTGGTTCAGGGTCGACATGGTAGCCATGTGCTCGTCTTGACCGACGGCTGGCGTGTCATCGGGCGATGAGAAGGTGGGAGAGAAGGGCTCCTGTCGTTGTGATGTCTCGTGGAGGGGCTTGATCGCGGCTGTGTGTGGGGCTGCTGTGGCAGTGGCGGGGCCGTATGAGACACCGTTGATGGGACCGATGGAGATCTGGACGCTCGGAGACACGGCACCGCCTGACGCGGGAATGCGCACTCTCTGTGTCTGCTCTCCCTCTCCCAAGGCCTCAACCAACACCAGATCTCCCGTTTCCCTCTCCCGACCATTCTGGCCAGTTGTTCGCTCGGGCGACGCCTTGTGCTTGGGTCTGGCGACGCCCTGTGTCGCCCGGTCCCACATTTTCCGGAACATGCCCTTCTCCTCCTTCTCTGCGACGGGTAAGACCTGCTCAGGTGGTGTGAGTTCCTGCTCCTCTCTCCTTCCCGCTGGAACCGTCTCCCCAGAGCTCATCGATTCGTTGGGGGATTTGATGGACGTGTTGACGGTGGTCACGCGGCTTACCATGGCCATCGTCCTTGCGCCGGGCAACGGCTCTGGTGTGGCGTCTCCTCTTGCGGCTGGGCGTGTCACCACAGGGGCGGGAGGGGCGAGCAGCTGGGCTGAGGGTGAATGTGTGTTGGCAAAGTTGACTCTGGGTGTTGGGTCGCTCATCGGCTCCTCCAGTGTCTTCTCTGGTATTGCTGGCGCGTGTGCAGGAATGTCAGGCAACTTCGCCTTGGCGGGGTTGGGCGAGAGAGGGGAAAAGGTCACGATCTGCTCAACGGCTGGCTCTACTTCCTTTGCTCCCGTCTTCTTGTCTCTCGTAGACCCTGTCTCCTTTTCCCTCGTTTGCGGCGGAACCTGTGTCGCCTCCTGCTGTTGTGCTGATTCAGGAGGTGGCTGCACGACGGGATGGTCGGGGGGCAGCAGGTGGTACGCCGTCTGCTTAGTATATGAGTCGCTGATGTTTGGCGGTGCCGCGGGGTTATCGAACGTGTCGCCGCGACGGTAGCCATCGCCTCTTGGAACCCTGCAAGCAACGACCGCGGCACAGCACAATACATTTCTGGAGGTCTCATGTTTTTTCTCTCGTGCTTTTCATACTCTTTGGGAGGTTCTTCCTCCTTTTCCTCCTCATCTTCCTCCTCCTGCAGCAGCCGACAACAGGAAATCCGAGTACTTCCGACTCAATCAATCGTCATGAAGGAGTGATGATGTGTCACCTTGGTCTCTTCCTCTGGTATTTGGACCACCTCCTCCTCCGCCGCTGGCACAGAGGGCTTCGGCGGCTGTGAGGGAGCGACAGATTGACGGGGCACTGGCTCTAGCTTGACGTTCCACCGAGTGGCAACTTGACGCACAAGGGCGGCGTCAGAACTGGGGAGACATATGTAGGAGGGAGGGAATACAAGAAGGCGTACGGAATTGAGTGGATACGCACCTCCGCAGGTGAGGGGAGGCGGTCAGCAGATCCTTCAGATTTGACTGCAGGTCGCTGTCGTGAGCACAGTCTGATCCACGAGTGAAGAGAAAAAAGTGATTCAGAAGGCTTAGAGTGATTCAGAAGGCACTCACCGACAAGCGTGTCACAGACTTCTGTCAAGCGCCAACGCAGCGCATCAAGCTGTTTGCAAAAGACGGCAACAAGCATTCGCACAAGACACGAATTATCCTCTGTCTCTCACCAACACTCACCTTATCTCTGAGCCCCTCGGGTTTGATGTTCTTCTTCTCCCTCTGCCGCAGCTTGTCGCCACCCGGGTACATTGTGGGCCGCGACTCGCTGTCCGACCGAAACCTCCCCAGACAGATCAGATCCAGCGTCAGGGGCAGCGCGTGGCTGATCCACACGCGCAGAGCACTCTCCGGTGGCCGACGGGCCAGCTGCATGCACGAATGAATGGGAGAGGGGAGGGTGTTTTCAGTCACTCGTTGTGTCTGTCTGGATGGGTGGGTGAAGTGGGTTAACCTCTAGGCTGAATTTCTTGGGGTTTTGCAGACCGAATGTCAACAGCTCTGTACAAACAAGGAGATACACGTGTGAGTTTGGGTTTTGTGAATCACTGACCGAGAAGGAGGAAGCTTCCGCATCTGCCATACTCTCTGAGTGTTTGGACGGCGTCGTCCTTCGTGTCGGCGCCGTAGACCATCAGGTCACCGCCGCCCGACATGGTGGCAAACGACCTCTCCAACCCTGATTGGTTGACACAGTCCACGAGGGTGTCTGTGCGTGTGCTGTGCCGACTCACCTTCCTCGTCACTTTCGTCTTCATCGTCGTAGAGCATGGGATTGCTTTCGTCCTCCTCGAAAGATGAGCGACCCTTCCTGCTCTGCCAAGCACACACAGACGGGTCAGAAGCGCACATGAGTGAAGTAAGCAGCCCACCTTTCTTCGTGACGATGAGACTGAGGGCCTCGGCATCGTCATTCCTGCGGGCAGGCTGGCAGCGTACAGGTTGCCGAACAACGGCTGCTGACTGCATGCGATCGACAACAGACACGTATACGAATGTGACGCCCATATCGGCTGATCGATCACTCTCAATCACTCATTCACTCACCCCTTGATGAGTCTTCTCCCGTCCTCTTCTCTCAATGCCTCGCAGATGAGGCCCAGCGCGCAAAGACCGCCGCCCGACAGCCCCGCATTCCACACCACGCCACCCGTCGCTGCCCCGGCAGCGGCTACGCTGCCTCGCTGTGTCGCCTGCTGCCGCAGCTCTTGCACAGACTGTAAACAAGCGAGCGTCCTGTGTCTCTCCCGTGAGTGCTTCCCTTTCTTGCTTACAGAGATGATGGCATCGAAGAATCGGTGTGCCACTTTGATGGCCTCATTCTCGCGGTAAGGCGACTGGAGTGCCTGCACAAAGGAAACAAAGGAATAAGCATCACATGAAAAACAGTGGGTGGCGCTAGATGCATTCGTACCCCCGGCTGTTGCTTGGGCGTGGCGTCGTCCGCCGCCAGCCTGCTGAGCGTGGCAGCGACGATACGCCCCCCGAAATTGCTCATCCACACGTCGATCACCGCGCGCAGGCCACCACTGACAACACACACCACAGACAATGAGGCGATCTGTGTTGGCAGGCTTTGGCTGGCAGGACATTTACTTGAAGTGCGCCTCCTTCTGCTGTGCGACCATTGTGAGGAAGGGTCTGAGTGAGGGCGAAATGAGAGGCGGCGGCAGCAGGCCCCTGTCGTCGAGTGCCGACGTGCCGCCAACAATGGCCGTACGTAGGAGGCACGACGCGATCGACACACCTGAGACACACGCACACATAGAACAACAGCATGGTTGGCTTGGGTAAACAGTGGGTTGGCAGACAAACCATCGGGTGTGAGTGGATAGATCCCACGGTGATAAAGTGACGAGTCGCCACCCAACTTCTGGACAAGCCCCAGCCTGAATTACCACCAGCAGTCAGCGGGCAAGTCCCTTTGACCGCTTGCTTACCAGACAGACGGTTTGAGATCCTCTTGGAAGGGCAGGGCCGATGCAGGCCGCGAGCCGTGCACTGACAGCTGATCCCTCAGCGACGAGCGGACGTCATTTGGCAGCTGGGACGAGTCACATAGGCCCCACAGGAACTCCACACCCTTCAACACACGACGGATGGCACACAGCCGCCCATGTTAGGCGGCGAATGAGACTCACTGCCAGCTACCTTGTGTTTGATGAGGCCCCTTTCGCTCTTGAGACGGTCTGACAGCAGAGCCAGCAGGCCGCTGTTCTTGTCAAACAGCGCATCTATGAAATCGGTCTGAAGCAGAGAGGGAGGGAGACACCAATCGATGCTGAGACGTACATGTGATGTGCTGCCCGCTGTCGCGTCCTTACGCTCGCGTGAGGCTGCTTTTCCAGCCGGCGGCGGAAGTAAACCAGCGTCGCATGGACAATGACATCGAGAGCGTCAACCACTCCGCCACACCCATCAGCTGGGCCCATCTGCAGACACAAACAACCGAGGCATTCGTCGCATCAAGAACATCTCCCTCCATGCATACCCACCACTGACCTTCTTCCCCATGTAGGCGAGAGCATCAGCGCCCATTCTCTCGACTTCGGCTGCCTCGAATGGCCGGCCGTTGGCGTCCATGCCTGGCGGCTGAGAGGCGCAGATGAGGTCCACGACCTCGCTGGCGATAGTGGCGTCCCATGGGCCGCCATCACAGGTCTGAAGGAGCCTCCACGCGAGCGACTGGAAGGGAATGCCGGAGCCGCGGATCACCTGGCTGGGAGGGACTTCCTGCATGCCATCCATCAATTGAACACACGGGATTCAATTTTGGTGATTCAATCCTCTCGTGTACGTGCTCTACCACTCCGTATTTCGTTCCTCCACACCCCATTGGTATCCTTCTCCAACAACTTCAAGTTCGAGACGTGGGGGCGCGTTGGGGGCGTGGAGTCTCCGAGTCAGAGCAGTGCTCCTCTCGCCAGTGGTCGTCGGAATGGCCGAGATGGCGGGTTCGTCGATGAGTGACATGCTCAGTGAGCCCCACGTTCCTCTGGTGAGCAGTGGTCCCCTGATTTTTATCTCATCCCGTGATCCGTTTGCATGTGCCTGTGCTTCTCACCCCCAGATGGCGCACGCAGAGATGCTCGCGCTCCCCAACGGCACCTTCACGTCGGGATTTGACGTGGTACGAGACAACACAGGGCGGAGGGACGCTTCCGGAGGTCTGGGTCACGCACTGAGTCTCGTGGCTCGTTCTGCTGTCCCTGTGCTCGCATTCTCAGTATGCCACGGCGCAAGAGAGGGTGCAGGCGAGGATTGATGAGCAGATCAAAGAGCTCCGACAGCAACGTCTCGAAAAACGCACGAGCACCAGCACCGTGAGCACCACGGGTGTCTCGCCATCTGCCGATGACATCAACAGCACCACCCACAACAAGGAAGAGCAGGAAGAGGAGACCCTCAACGATGCAGGAGGCCCCACCACAGAGGAGGTGCTGCAACGCATCCACTCGTACCGCCGCCGCTTCTCGTGGCTGCGTCGGCCCACATTCGATGTGAGTGCACGCGTGAGCATGATCATGATGATGCCACCATACACACGTGGATGCCTGCTTGGTCATGCAGCACCTGCGATGGAGATGGGGCGAGCCGCTCGAGGACGAGCTCGGCGGGCTTGTCTATCGCAAGTCACAGACAGCCCCCATCATCAGTGAGTCCACAGAGGTGTCAACCAAGACCCAAGAGCTTCAGGACGTGTGTCGCGCCCCGGCACTCGACAGCCTCCAGGAGGCGTTGCGTGTGACGCAGCAGCGTGTGGATGAGCTGGTGGAGGGTCAGGAGCGGCATGAGGCGAACATGCGGTATGTGAGGGGCAGCCTAGCTGAAATGGAGAAGGAGATGCTGACGTTGCGGGATTTCCGAGGGATGGTGAAACAGATGGAGGAAATGGAACAGAAACTCTCGGGAGACATCAAGTGGGCTATCTTGTGGGTCGGAAGGGGTGAATTCTGACGCATGTGGGCCATGTTGTCTTCTGCTGCTGCTGCTGCAACAGGCAACTGACGAACACCTTTGGTCGCCTCCAAAAGGCTCTGGTCCACAGCCTGGCTGAAAAGTGAGACACACAGTACTTATGAGGTCACTCCACTTCAATTCGTTCCGTTCTCTCTGTCGCTTCCATCTACCATCCATGCAGGAAGGAGGAAGTCATCCACGCAGCATGGGACGCCATTGCGGCACACAAGCTCCCGTCCCCTCCTCCCGTCCAGCACTCACCCTCCGACCAGCACATGGCGCCCGACCACGGCAACCACGAGACGCCCGACACAGAGAGACGCCGCAGCCTCAAGCTGATGGCCATGCGCTCGAATGACACGCTCTTTTTCGACGAGTCGGGGCCTCTGTGTGGGCGAAAGCGACGGCTGCAGAGCAGCCAGGATGAGGCGGATGGGACGGCAGCTGCCGTCGTGGCTACATTTGACAAGGGCAAGGGGGCTTTGGCGGGCGAGAGGGGGAAGGGGGGCGGGGCTGGTTTGGTGCACAAGGGGGAGAACACTTTGCAGCGAGTGGGCTGACGAAAGAAGCTAAATACGGAGTTGTAGGGTTGGCACCTGGTCGAGTATGCATGTACTTTTCCCGTACGGTATTGGTGAATGGCGAGACACGCATTTTTTCAGACAGGCTTGAGATGCAGTTTGTGTCGGTCCAGAGTCTGGATGCACACATCCGTTTCTCTCCCTCTTTCTTTCTCCGTGACATAACAAGTGACACTTCAACCAACGGATATAAAATGAAGGCAGCGATCATTCGATGAATTCCGTGCACACAAGCCGCAGATATGAAATGTAGACAGAGATGCACCCACCCATCCAGCCACCCATCTCTCTCTCACATGTGGTGCTGATGGACTGAACCACCTCCCACTTGTCATGGTTTGTGGTGATCTGGCCCGACTTGACTACAATCGCCCGGTGCTGGCCGAGCTCTCCGAACTCCCTCTCCCAGCGCACGATCTTGGGCGGCTTGCTGCTGGTGTCGCAAATCACATACTTGTACTCTACAGGCTTGCTGCTGTCGGGGATGTTGACAATGGCGGTCCTGTCAGACTCCCATGTGCTGCCACGCTGTGCATCCCAATGGACGCACTGGAGCTGCTTCGCGTTGGTGGGAAGGTGGCGGCAGCCCAACTGGAGGCGATTGACGCTCCCCAATTCTGGCACGTCACCGCACACGAAGACCTCTTCGCCAACACCTGTGGGTGAAGAGTGTCTTGAGCTCGTGCTCGAAGCCGTCCTCCCACATCTGCACAACCAAGCGGCACACACACACGTGGGAGTCTTTCTCTCTTGCGAATGGATGCTCTCTCACTGACTGACTGACTGACTGACCGTCAACGATGCCTTTGAACACCCTCCCGTACACACCAGCGCCCACACAGTACTCAAAGGGGTTCCGCCAGTCGGCTGGGGGGGATGGCAGGGGTGGTCGACGGCAGCTGGGTCTTGGTCGGGACGCTCGCACCGATGGCCAGCCTCCCTCCTGGTGGAGCTGCGCGAGCCGGCTATCTCCACATGTGAAGGGCGAGGCCCTCGCCGAGTGACTAAGGCCTACATGCGAAGGCCGCCGTCAAGCAACCAACTCTCACCTGTAGATCGAAGACATACAGACAAAAGTGAGTGAGGTGCATTGTCTGCGGCGTATCAGAGCTCGCCCATTCCCAATCCCTCACCAGGGTGAGAGACGAAGCCCTCGGCAGTGGTGCGCTCGCCTCCGATGTCCGACGACGCTGTGCGTGGCGCTGCCGGATGGCCGCTTGCTGGGGTCCGCGAGTGGCGAACTTGTTGCACTAGCTGACGACGGACGTGAGACACATGAGCAGGGTGTGCATGGATGGCATGGCTGCTCTCCGTACCGGGCGATGCATTGTTCGAGGGATGATGTCCATAGAGCCTTGCAGATATAAAATGTAGACAGCCATCCGAGGAGGGCCCTCCTCCCTCTGCCGTAAGCACCCACAGCAGCCACCTGGTGAGCACACGCCGCACCGCTGTCGCTGCACACACACACACACACACACACACAGAGAGAGAGAGAGAGAATACACGCCATGTCACGGGTCCCCTTTTCCCGCCCTTTCTCCACTCACCTTGTTACGTAGAGACAGAGATATGTACATTACGCCGTTAAGTACTCCCTTACATGAAAGCCCTCCATCCATCCAGGCAGGCAGGGAGGCGACACACAGTGAGGGCAGCAATTACGTCGATGACGTCGTGTTACGTAGAGACAGACATATGTACATTACAACGTTAAGTACTCCAAGACACACACACAGACACACACACAGAGACACACGCCAGACATACAATCAGCAGCCCAGACCACCACACCGGCAGACAGACACACATGCACCCACACCACCGCACTTGGCTCCCCCCCTCCCCCCACCCCCACTAACACACAACAGTCGGTAGCCTCCACCACCACCACTAACACAACTGTCGGGGGCCAGAGTGGTGCTGGTGTAGGCAGGTCTCGACATCCCTACGCACTGCAGTCGATGGCCTGGCACGAACCGACGACCAGCTGCAGACACACACACGTGACATCCATGGGAGCACGACAAGAGATAAGAGGTGACCCCCACCGTGTGGGTCTCATATCTTGCTCCTCCCACACGAGTTTTGCGCCGTTGCCCTCCTCTGCCTCCATGGACACCACATCCATGATACTGTACACTCTCCCTCAAGCTATACAATCATCTATGTGTGTATGTGTGTTTGTGTGTGGGGGGGGGGGTACGTATTTGGGCATGGTGATTGATAAATCGACTAAAGAAGGCCAGACAGCAAACCGGCAAAAATATCACAAACAGGGGGACACGACACAGCCGCCTAGTCAACGAGAAATAGCCCTCCCCCCTAACACCATCATAAATTGCCCGCCCACGCGACACACGACGACAAAGCGACAAAAAAAAAAACGCACAACGGGTACGGGTATGGGTATGGGTACGGGTACGGGTACGGGCAGACAGACAGGCACACAGGAGAAAAAGAACATCCACGGCACGCACATCACACAGCCCCCCCTTGTTGCCCTCTCCACCCATCTGACATCCATCCATCCATCCATCACGTACTGATGTTGTTGAGAAAAAAAAAACACAGCAGCCAGCCAGCCAGCCAGGCAGACAGACAGACATGCACCCACACCCAAAAACCGCAGGAGGGTCGGAGTGTTGCTGGTGTTGGCAGGTCTCGGAATCCCTGCCGCACAGCAGTTGCAGTGCCCCCATCATTGACCTACATCCCTTCGTCACGCGATACGGCGCCTCTTGTTGGCGCATCCCCTCCTGTAGTCGTCCGCCCGTCCAGTGGCGGTGGGCAAGACCACGACACGTGGCGCCTGCTGCTGCGCCACTGCCGGTGCCGGTGCTGCTGTTGGGCGGATGGTGGTGCCCGCCCGGCGCCGCTCTGGCGTCTTGTAGACCCACAGGCGGCGGGGCACCAGGCCGGTCGGCCACAGTGCGGGCGGCTGGGGGGGCTTCTTCTTTGGCTGCGGCAGCGGCTTGACAGGGCGCCAGCCCAACCTCGAACACTCCCGACGGGCCTCCATGATTTCGCGGATGTCGGCGGTGGGGCGGGTCTTCGATCGGTCCGGGGACACGATGGCCTGACCGGCGGGCTTGGGCGGCCGGTAGTACGCCAAAGGGGGTGGCAGCGATCTTTGATGAAGCACAGGACCGACCGCGATATAAAATGTAAACAGCGATGCCTCTGCCGAAGAGAGAGAGAGACAGACAGACAGACAGACGGGCTGACATCCACTATGATTGAAAAGCTTACTGCCTACCAGGCCTTAACGCTTCCTTCTGATTTGGTAGACGTGGCTCGTCGTGACATGATGCTCTGCAGCCTCACACACACCAACGAGATCCATGAAGATGGTTCTTTCTCGCCACTCCCCTACCTTCTCATGTCCATCCACTGCATCGTTATTCGTTTGTACGGGACTCTCACGGATATAATGAAGACAGCGATGTCTCTGCCTTGGCAGCAGCCGGCGGAGCCTTGGCCTTGGTTGTCACTTGGATGGCCTTTGGTGCTGTTGGGGGGGCCCTTGGCAGCTGTGCGGTGGGGCAGTGGCTGGGCGGGCTTTGGCGGTGCGGCCTGGGCGCGACGGTGGGGCAGTGGGGGCCTGTCGGCCCCCTCCTCTGGCTGCTGCGGCTGCTGCTTCTTTGGGCGCAGCTTGGACGGGCCATTGAGGCCCTCCGGCGTCCTCACGCGCGAGATCTCCGAGAGGAGCTCCGCAGCGATCGGACGCTTAGAGGGCTCGGCCTCCAGGTATCTGCATGGACGAGAGAGGCATTCATACAATTGAAACATACGTATGTCATATGTGTACAGGAGCACTCTGTGTGAGTGAGTGTTGCCCTGACCTGAAGGCGGCCTCGGCGAGCACCCTGGCGACTTCCGATGGCCATTTGCCGCCCGCCGTGGCGGCCGCCACGACGGCCTCGACCGACCTAAACACGGGCAGGCCCTTCTGCAGACGTACGTCAGATACCCCAGACACAGACAAGTCACGTGTATGTGAGAAATCTGTTTGCTCAGATGATCTCGCTTTCCTGCGTACCTGATATCCCTGATGCACAAGTAGTTCCAACATCATCAACCCGAACGAGTACATGTCGCTCTTCGTGCATATATACTCCCCCCTGAAACACACGACAGACACGCACACAACACACAGACGGACGGACAGACAGACAGACAGACAGACACGCAGGCAGGCAGACATATATGAGTGGCTCTTGTCTGCCATGTGTGTGTGTGTGGGTATGATCTGACCTTTGCACCTCGGGCGCCATGAAATCCGTCGTGCCACGAGGCTTAGTCAAAAGGCGGCCTGCATGTACAAAAGCACACATACATACATACACACGTACATGTCCGGGTGCGTATGAATGGAATGGTGCATTCGAGTCCCTCCCTCCTACGTGTATTGGGCGCCACGGTGAGCGCCAGGCCGAGGTCGGATATCTTGGCCGTCCCGTCGCGAGTGAGCAGCACGTGTCCCTGCCCCTCTCGCCTTGGCCCCCCTGCGGTCCATCGGCTGCTCTCCCGGCTTGCCCTCTCCCCGACGTGTCGCGAGGCGTCGCGCAGCGGCCTTGCGCGCCGCCTCGGCGGCATCTGCGGGCGTGCCTCCTGCCGCTTCCTTGACCTCCCCTCCCCTCGCACCCACACGGTCGGCCGGCTGTCTCAGGGCTGCCGCTTTCCCCCCTTGGTCGCCAGCCCTCTTGGCGGGCCGTCGCCCTCCCGCTGCCGATGGTGGCGGTGGTGGCTGCGTGGTGGCCCCCCCGGCTGCTGCTGGGGGGGCCTTGGCAGCAGCCGGCGGAGCCTTGGCCTTGGCTATCACTTGGATGGCCTTTGGTGCTGCTGGGGGGGCCTTGGCAGCTGGGCGGTGAGGCAGTGGCTGGGGGCGCTTTGGCGGCGCGGCCTGGGCGCGACAATGGGCCAGTGGGGGCTTGTCGGCCCCCTTCTCTGGCTGCTGCGGCTGCTGCTTCTTTGGGCGCAGCTTGGACGGGCCGTTGAGGCCCTCCGGCGTCCTCACGCGCGAGATCTCCGAGAGGAGCTCCGCAGCGGTCGGACGCGCAGAGGGCTGGGCCTCCAGGTATCTGCATGGACGAGAGAGGCATTCATACAGTTGAAACATACGTATGTCATATGTGTACAGGAGCACTCTGTGTGAGTGAGTGTTGCCCTGACCTGAAGGCGGCCTCGGCGAGCACCCTGGCGACTTCCAATGGCCATTTGCCGCCCGCGGTGGCGGCAGCCACGACGGCCTCGACCGAACTAAACACGGGCAAGCCCTTCTGCAGACGTAGGTCAGATAACCCAGACACAGACAAGTCACGTGTATCTGAGAGATCCGTTTGATCAGATGATCTCGCTTTCCTGCGTACCTGATATCCCTCATATACTAGTAACTCCAAGATCATCAGCCCGAATGAATATATATCGCTCTTGGTGCAAATGTACTCCCCCCTGAAACACACGACACGCACACCAACACACAGACGGACGGACGGACGGACGGACAGACACGTGTGTGAGTGAGTGTGTGGCGCGTACCAACACTTTGCGAAGCTTGTCCAGCAGGTTCTTGTTGTCATCCTTCATGGCCGCCAGCTCCTGCACGCACACCACACGGGCATTCAGATTGGCATGTGTCCAAGTCGATGATCTTATCTTGTTGATCTCCGACTTCTCCCGGCACACACGCAACAGCTCCTGAAAGACAGGGCAGCAGAGGTCATTGGCAGCCATTGGCCCGCCTTCCCTCTCGGTCCAACCTGCTCGAGTAGGGCCTCCTTCTTGGCCCTCTCCTCCCGCTCAGCGCGCAACTTCTCCTTCAGGAGACGACTGACCTCCTGGGGATCGCAGAACAGATGGGAACACACAGATGAGTACCCACATCGCATCAGGCAGGCGTACCTTATCGCTGCCTCCATCTGGCAGCGTCATCAACGCTGCAAGTGGAGGGCGTAGGCTGGCCCGTGGGGTAGCGGGCCAGATAGAGGAGGCGTCTCAGGGGGCCGCCGAAGCGGCCAAAGATGCGGAGACAAACAGAGAAAACAGAAGAGACATGAGCAAATCCTGATTATCACCTCTTTTGTGTCTCCCTCACTTACGTACGTACCTGTGGGGCCGCCGGGGGCAGACGTGGATGATTTAGTAGGCCCATCGAAGATATGAGATGGAGACAGCGACATCCATCTGCACACGCAGAGGCACAAGACACGTACACACGACTGACTTGATCAGTATACATAGTATATTTGACAGCTCACTTCTGATGTGCAAACGGCAAGCAAGACAGTGCGGTTCGAAGTCATCTTCCCGATCGAATATAAAATGTAGCCAGCGATCTGCAAACCACCCATCGACAGAGAGAAGAGCATAGAAGACAAAGTACTCCTTATGTATTGAGTGTATGTCTTTGCCATTGAGGTCTTGTTCTGGTCCTGTCGGAGACATGATGCGAAGAAGCGAAGATATGCCGACGAATATAAAATGTAGACAACGATTCGATCTGCGAGTACAGAGACACGAAGTGCACGTGTGTGGTGCGTATGGTGCGCGTCGGCACTGTCCCCCTCCCTCCCTCCCTCCCTCCCTCCCTGGCTCACCGTGAGGGAGCTCTTGAAGTGTTGGCGGGTCCGAACGTCAACACCCCGATGAGCCAGCATCCGGCGAGGACCAGCTGTCCGATGGCCATGACTACCGAGAGGGCGTCGGGGAGCATGCCGAGGGTTTTGTTGCTGGCGGCGCCATGGGCTGGCGTGGTGGCAGAGACACGGCTCGGTGGGCGTATAATGTCCCGCATTATCCCCACAGCCCTGAAACGCACACACCGAATACATGACGAGTTATGAATCATGGGTCAAGATCCATGCTTTTGCAGTGCTGCTAATTCTCACCCAGCAATGAGGCAGAGGAAGGTCAGGAGGTATAGGAGGTGCCCAAGGACGTCCACCGAGAACTCGTGGCTCCAGGACGGCCGCGACCAGCAGGAACAGGGCCGTGCAGATTAGGATGAGGCTTGACGCGGTACACGGTGCGGTTGGGTGAGTCGCTGGGAATGGTGCCCATCGGCAGGGGGGGAGGTCGAGTCGGTGGCACGGGAGGCAGGTTGGTTGTGAGGCCGCTGGTGCGGTTGAAGATGCCCACACTGAGCCCTGCTGCCTGCCACTGCGCCACCGCCGACTGCAGACTGACATTGCCGTCCTCGCTGCTGTGAATGGCGGCGCCGGGACGGGGCTGCGAGGGCGATGGCGGACCGTCAGGCCGAGCGTCAGGCGAGGCCGCTGCCGCAGGGGTCCGTACGGTGCGGCGAGCGTACGATTGGTGGTGACGGTGAGGCTGCCTGTGGGCCGCTGAGCGGCGAGGAAGGGAGGTGGCGCTGGACTTGGCGGTGGAGGTGGCGTGAGGGCCGACGAAACCAAACGCGGCGGACATCGGTGACACAGAGCGACAAGGGCCGGCGATGCGGCACCCCCACCACAGTGTCACCACCCGCAGCCGCTGCCTCTTGCTGCCCGCCTCCTTCTTCTCCCCACTACTGCCGCTGCCACCACCATTGGCCGCCACACACCTGCTGCCCCTGCTGCCCCTGAGCAGTGGGAGGCGGAGGGGCATGAGCCTCATGGTGCTGCGCACCTGCACGGACATCAAACGCATGACACGCCGGTGGTCGGATCATGCAGATGAGGGTGAAGCAGGCGAAGGCGGTGACCGGCGTTTCACCATCGACGGCCCACACGACGACAGACCTGATGCTGGCGGCGATGGTGTCTGGTGCCTCGTGGATGGTGTGGAGCTTCGGGTCAGGCTTGAACTTGGGCCGCCTTCTGCTCTTCTTGCCGATGATGGGCTCACCTCGAGCAACAGAGGGATCTCGATGACGTGCTCGCCCTCGTTGTCTGGCTGCTGCTGGGGATGGACAGACACAGATCGATCGGCGCCTTGAACACATCTGTGTGTATCTTTGCCAGCTCGTACCGTGTACGCCATCACGTTGCTGCCGCCGGTGGTGAAGTGCATGACCTCCTCACAGTTGATGATGTGTGGGTGCTGGCCGCCCTGGGCTCGACAGCCACTGTTTCTCCTACAGCACACACGCACCCACAAAACGGCAGACACACGCCCGTCGGCCAGTCAATCCACTTGTGGTTTGTGTGTGTCTGTTGTGCGCATACCATCCGTCAGGGTGAGTCCTCTTGTGGCATCCCTCATCCCGCACAGGATGATCGCGCCAAAGGTCCCCTCCCGCACCGGATCCCTCTGCATGGCCGTCAGCACACAAAGCCTCCTGCGCCCCATCCGCACACAGACACACTCACGCCACACAGGCGTGCGATCCACAGTGTGAGACTTACAGCGGCGTCTTCGAGGACCTATCTCTTCAGGCCTTCGATTGATGGATGGATCTGAATGAAGACACAGAGAAGGTCAGAGCCTGATTGATGGAACAGAAAACAAATGGTGGGGCTGGCTTCTTCCGGCGGCTTCGAGTCCCTCTCCTCCTCGGTGCGCGGAGACAAACACGGGAGGGGAGAGACATGAGAAACAGCATGGCGAATCATTTGTTTTCTCACTTGCTTACGTACCTGTGGGGCCGTCAGGATATGTCTATGCTTCCGGGGGCTCCCATCAGCTGTGAAGCAAGAAGGAAATCTGCATTCTGTCAGAAATCAGAAATCAATTGTGTGCTCAACAGCGCAAAGCAGTTTTCCTGACTTCTGACACATGAGTATTGACTATACCTTTCGGTCTTCCATGCGCGAGTCCACTCTTTCGACCAGACGGCTGCTGTCGTGGTGGGACATCTTGACAAAGGCTGTCAGCGACAAAGAAAAGAAGACAGCTTGATTCTTTTTTTCCCTCTGAAATCCAAAAGATTCAACACTTTCTAGAGAGAAAAGACGGGAATTCTGAAAGGCAGCAAAATGCAGAATTGAACTGCACACAAAAACCACACTCATTAAAGGCACTTACACTCTGTTCAGAAGTGCGGCGAGAAAACGAGACGGCAACGAAGAGAATATCATTTTCATCTGCACCTGAACATGACAAAGGGAGGCACATGACCACACACACAGCAGCGGAAAGGGTCGTATTTTCTCTTCACACACCATTCATACATCACACATCCTCACAGCAACGAGACATGACACACGAGGCCACACACACATGGACTGACCTGTCGGAGGTCTTTCTAGGGGAGAAGGCGCGCACAGCTGAGGCCTACACATCCACACACAAGCCACCGAGAGAAAAGAAGGCCGATAACGGTGTCGCCAGACTCCTCTCCCTGAGCTGAACGGCAAAAGAAAGAGAGAGATGCCAAGTGCTCGCCACGATGTAAGGAGCCCTTGATGACAGCCCAATCACATGACTGACTACTTGTAAGCTCCGCATTTGTCTGAGAAGACAACTGTTCTTCTGCTGAAAAAGTCAGCGAGGATTCTGAATTTCTGACATAGTGCACGTGAGTATACGACTACCTTCGTGTCGTTCGTGTGCATATCTTCTTTTCGACCACACGCTTGTTGTCGTCGTGGTGAAACTTCCTGGTCAGCTGCAAGGGAGAACGATGAATTGGATTATTTGATCTGATCTGTCTCTTTTCTGCCCTTTTTTCGTCGGACCAAAGGGTCGCATTTCTGAAGAGCACCAGACAGGGTCACTGACGTGCACGTGAGCACCAGATTCAGTGGGGCACTTGCTTACCTTCAGAGAGATGTGTCGAGAAAAGGAGACGGGGATGAAAGGAAGAAATCGCCGTTTCATCTGCACACACAGACATGGCACTGAGAGGTCTATGAGGACACCCATGGCAACGAAATGCGCCATACATTCATTCCTACACACCAACCATACATCCCACCATCACCACACCCAACAGACATGACACACGAGGCCACACTCATATGTACTCACCTGTTGGTGGTCGGTATATGCGAGAAGAAGGCGCGTGCGCACTCTGCAGATGGCAGGCAGTCGCCAGCCGCTCCGCAGAAGGCAGGGCGCCACCAAGCGAGGCCTCGCCCGGGGCACGGCGGTGGAGGAAAAAAGTGGAGGATGAAATGCGGAAAAGTTGGGAGGGGTCGAGGGAGATGCGGCGGACAATACAAGCCAACAACCAGCCGAAAACAAAAAGAACTGGAGGATCTGTGGCTGAAACAAGGCTGGAAAGCCGAACGCGGATGAAAAATGTGAAAAATCGCTGCGGATTCTAAATGCGGGCTTGTCTCCGTCTCAGCTCGCAAAAATCTCGCCGCATTTAAATTTCGTTTTCTGCGGACAACAAGAGGCCATTAAGGCCGAGAGAGGGAGAGAGAATGGTTGCTGCCATGGACGAGGTCTGATTGCGTAAAGTGGTCACTGAAATCCGCTCACTTTGATGAGATCTTTTCGCTTTGGGCAGCCGTTTCTGGAGCTCTGCTGACTTCATTTGCGCCTGTTCGGTGTAGAGGGCCTTCATTTGGCCTCTGGCGGGTGCTCAGTCTTTACCAGGCAGCATTGTGGACCGAAACGGCTTGCATTCTTGTTGACCTTTGCAATGGATGATTTGATGCCATGATTGCATGAGTGTGTGCATGGTGATGGTGTTCACCTTCATTGGCACTGGGTGGATCCCTTCATGGGCTCCACGGAATGCCTCGAAAATCGCATCGCCTCACTGACATCGACAGTCCAGACTCCAGACACACATGCACCGACTTCTCGCCTACTCAACACCTGGCACACTGCGATGGCGTGGCCGGGCGCCAGGCAGATAATTTAGCCACCAAAAGCCACGAAGTGAGAGCAGTGCTACCCATGGCCTTCTCTCTCTCATGTGTGCACCCATCTGCCCTGCACGAAACGTGAAAGTCAGTGAAGACCAGCGGCTGGGCGCTACTTGTGTGTCTGTACCCATTTGGTGAGGCTCCATTCGAGTCCATTGGGTCAATCGACTTCCCACATCGAGCAAAATCCACACGGATCAATGGATAGGGCCACATCGATCAAAAGCCGCCCGAAACCAGCCGCACGGACCGACCACTCCCTCCTCGTGCGGGCTCCTGACACACAGACAAGAGGCAAAGCGGCCCATTGCTATTCGACGAACGCTGGACATGCGTGGCGTAGTGATTACGTACTTGTGTTCCCTCGTCCGCCCTCCAGAGCTCACGTGTGTGCCGCACGCCGTTCCTGACACAGACAAGGAGAGGGGTAGGTGTCCGTGTGCTTGGCTTGTGTGTGGTGTGCTTGGTTACTCGTCCATTCTGGTTCTTGTGTGCTGCCTTATTGACATCAGCCGGCACAGAACAGAACCATCAGTCCCTCACGCACTGCCTGCCGGCCACGGTGACCCTGCAAAGAGTGACGGACACACACGTTATTCACAGAGGTCCTCACATGACGTCGACACATGACGTCGACGGTTGTCCTGTGAGCATACCTGACGGATGAATGCAGGTGCACGAGGCCTTTTGCCACCCCCTTTGAACCTGCACATGGACATGCACATGGAAACCATCCAACGACTGAATGACCGCCCGCGCCAATTCTGTCCGTTGGATACCGACCTGTTTGAGCCCATCGATGCGACCATCGCTGTTTGGTGTCTTGCGCGATGTGGGAAGGGCACGTCGGGGGTAGGTGAGAGGCATTTGGTGAGAGGAGACCGTCATGAACCTGTACGGACACAAACAAAGGAGAAGGAATGCAGCCACCGGTGAATGGATGTGTCTGTATCCTCTTCCTCTTCCTCTCCTCCCTCTCCCCCCCCCCCCCC